CCATCAGCTTGCAGAACAGAATCTTAAATTCTCATGGACTCGGGGTTTTCTGGATGAATCCCAGAAACTAAGGTCCTGAAAGAGTTTCTTTAAAATTTAAATCTAAAATACTCCCTAATGTCTTCTAATAACCAAACAATTGTTTAGCTGAACAAGTAAAGAATATCTGCCTTGAGGATTGAAATCTTTTAAGCTAGACGATATCGTTCGTATATCCCACATCATATCTACATGGGATCCAATTGACAGCCAAACTCACTGCCACAGAGTCGATTCTGACACCTAGACACCCTATAGGACAGGGTAGAACTACCCCTGTGGGCTTTTGAGATGGTGACCCTTTACAAGAGTAGGAAGTCTCATGTGTTGCCCATGGAGCATTTAGTGGTCTTGAACTGCTAACCTCAAGGTGAGCAGGCCAATGTGTAACATGCTCCTGTTCACACAAATCCAGGGCTGTCGAAGGCTGTGGTGGGCAGAAAAGTAGAAGACGCATTCCACTCAAATTTGGTAAGAAAAAGATGGATTGATAAATATGGTTGAGGAGTCCCTGAGTGGAACAGAGGGTTAAGCGCTTGACTACAAGTGAAAGGTAGGCAGCTCAAACCTAGCCAGAGAGGCCTAAGAAGATAAGGCTGACTACCAGGCCCAGTAACAAAACCACTGGGAAGCAAGAAAAAGGAGGAAGAGGAGAGGGAGGAGGAGGGGAAGGAGGAGGAGGATGAAGAAGAAGAAGAGCTGACACTGCTCTCAACTCTGTGGCGTAGGTCTACTCTGCACACCTGGGGTTGGCATGGATCGGAACTGACTTGATGGCAATGGACAACAGCATCGAGTATGCCCTGGGTTGGGTGATGGGTCCCCCAAGAGATGTTCACATTCTAATCCCCACACCCGATTAGTGTGGCCTTATTTGGAGAAAGGGTCTTTGCAGCTGTCCTTAAGTTAAAGGTCTCAATGGGAGATCATCCTGGATCATCAGATGGGTCCTAGAGCCAGTGGCAAGGTTTATAAGGACACCTAGAAGAGAGACTTGCAGAAGAGGAGAAGGCCACGAGCCACGGAGGTAGAGTTGGAAGGATACCACCACAAACAGCCGCCGAGAGGCAGGAGAAGCTGGGAGCGGGGAGGGCGGATGCTCCCTCAGAACCCGTGGATGGAGTACAGCCCTGCTGACGGACACCTGATTCCAGACTTCTGGCGACCGGACTGTGTGAGAATACATTTCTGATCTTGTAAAGCCTCTTCATTTGTGATGATTTGTTAGGGCAGCTCTGGGTAAGATTCTGTGAGTAACCAATGTTGCTAGGCATTTATATCTCTCTTACCTCTTCCTCTAAGGTGTTGGCTCAGATTGAAAAAAGCAAGTAACATGACTGGTTAACATCTATTCCCACCCTTGCCTTCCCACCTCTGACAATTAGCCATGCCAATGGAAAACCTGTTTGGATCACAAAAATCTTAATAAGAAACAGTCTCCTTATTTCCTTCCCTCTTCCTTCCCTCCTTCCCAACTCCTCCTCCTCCATCTTCTCCTCTCACCTTTTTTTATGTCTCCCCATTTGTAGGCTTTCTGTAACCCTTTCTATCATTCTCCCTCTCCTCCTCCAATTCTCATTGGTGGTAGGTTCCAGGCTCCTAGCCTGTGACAGTATGTTCTAGCCAATGCCAAATGCTAGGAGGAATGAAATCAGAATTTGGAGAAACTTTGCAAACTCAACCTGGAATGAGGGATGCTGTCACCCACAAACACCTTGGTTATGGTGATAATGAAAGTGTGGCTAATGATACTAGTGGGGGTTAAAGTACTGTTGGTAGTGATTATGGGGATGTGGGGGGGGTGATGGAAAAAGAATACTGATGGAGTTATTGGCATGGTTGGTGATCATGGTAGTAGAGGTGATGATGTTGGTGATGATCGTAATGATGAAGGTGGTGGAGGTGGTCAAAGTTGTATATTGTTCAGCCTTGCTGCTATAACAATCCCCACATCGCAAGGTCTTATAACTCAGTCACATTTCTATCTGTCTACTGTGAGTCAGCTTCTGGGGTTCAGTGTCTCGTCTTCTCATTCTGGATCCCAGGCTACAGGAACAGCTCTCATCTTAAACATGTAGTTCCTGTGGCAAAGGGTGCAGGCAAGAGACCGGGTGGAAACTTGCAATGCCTCTTAACATTTCTGTTGGGATCTGATGCACACCACACAGTCAAGGCCAGTGTCGATAGGGTAGGGGATCGTCTGCAAGCCCTACCACAGCACCTGAGCAGGTGTCGCATTCTCACAGGGAAGAAGGAGTGCACACTGGTAACGATACGACCACAGAAACGAACGGTGGTGGGAGTGGCAGTGGTGGCACTTAGAGAAATAGCGAGCTAGTGATGCTCCTGCTGGCGAGGCTGGTAGCAGTGATTACGGTGGAGATGTAATCATACTAGTGGTGGTGATCCGATGCGTGGCAGAGTGGCGATATGAATGGAGGGGCATGATGATAGTGGTGATCACTCCCTCACTGCCATCGAGTCGAGTCCAACTCATAGCAACCCCATAGGACAGGGTAGAACTGTCCCTGTGGGCTTCTGAGACGAACTCTTTACAGGCATAGAAAGCCACATCTTTCTCCTGAGGAGCGCCTGGTGGTTTCAAACCTCTGACCTTGCAGTTAGCAGCCCAACTCATAACCATTGTCCCCCCCCCCCAGGGCTCCGACAGTGACGGCAGAGGTGCTGAAAGTGGTGGAGATGGTACAGCAGGGGAGTGAGGTGCTAGCCCTCGTGCTGTGGTGAGCGTGAGGAGGAGGGAGCTGGGGTATTCTGGATTTTCTGTCGCTCACTGAACATTGCCGTCACCTTTTTCTGTGATCTCCTTGGCAACACAGACAAGTCTGGACGATTTTTCCAGAATCCCTTTACTCATATATTGCTTATGGAATTCGAATGGTAGAAGAGAAAGAGGAAGTTGCAGGCATGACCACCAAGATGTCCGCAGCAGTTTCCGGGCAATCTCTGACGGCTGCAGTCTGCAAGACTCAGCAGGTGCTCC